CGTTTCCTCACCCTGTTACCCCTGTGCCCTGGTGGCAGCCCTGAATAACAACCAGTTCCACTCATTGAACTGGCTTTCGGGTGCCAGGCAATGTGCCAAGGGCTTTAGCCGCATGTCATGGAATGCTCCCAGCCTCCAGCATCACCCACGCAGGTGAGGAGCTGGGTCACATGGCTACGCGTGCGTGGAGCAGGGAGCTCAAGCAGGTGTTTGCTGAGCTGCAAGCCCCTGGTCCTCGGTACTGTGCCGACTTGCCTCCTTGAGCCAACAGAGGGGCAGCTTGCTCTCTGGGATGATTTCCGCCAGGTACTGGCTCCCAGGAGAGCCTGCACTCAAGTCAGTGAAACGCAATGGGCAGAAAGTGCAGCGGGAAGCCTGGGCAGGGCCGCCCAGCTTGGCGCCCTGGGCCTGGCTGACTTCTCCAGCGTCTCCCTCGCTTCGCTCCACAGCCTGATCTCCTCGGAGCAGCCAGTCGCTGCCGTTCCTCCACTGTTCCTCCATGTCTGTCCGCTCAGTCCCCTTCTCCTGGAATGCACCTCCCTGTTCTCAGGTCAGTGAAATTCATCTCATCCCATGAGGCCCAATTTAAAGGTCACTCTCTATAAGAGGGGCTGACGGGTGCCTGTCTCCTTCACCCCCAACACTGACCAGGGGCAAGGATAGCCCCAGTCCCACTGTGTTCTAGCGTATGTGGGTGTCTCCCTCCAATACTGTGAGCTTGCCTTCCTGGTCACTCAGGTCACTTACACATGGTCCTGTCATCATGTGTTTTATTGTCTCCCTCTCTAGTTCTGTGAGTGCAGGGAACCATGTCTATATATATATTTTTAATCCTCACTGAGGATATTTTTTCCATTGCTTTTCAGAGAGAGTGGAAGGGAGAGAGAGAGAGAGGAACATCGATGTGAGAGAGACACATCAATTGGTTGCCTCCTGTATGTGCCCCAACCAGGGCGAGGGATCAAGCCTACATGCCCTTGGCTGGAATCGAGCCCTTCAGTCCGAGGGCCGGCACTGTAACCACTGGGCAAGACTGGCTAGGGCGGGAACCATGCCTATTTTATTGGCCATTGTCATACTCAGTGCCAACACATAGATGGTTCTTAATAAACCTGTATTGAATGATGGGAGACCGCACTGCCAAAAAGTGAAAAAGTAGTTTTTATTGTGTGACACAAACTCAAACTGTATCTTTTTTTATACCTTTTCCTCCTTTATGTTTCACATTTACATACGTAACTTTCAAGTCATTGACTTTTATGGCCATTTTCTTTTTTAAATATATTTTATTGATTTCAGAGCGAGGAAGGGAGAGGGAGAGAGAGATAGAAGCATCAATGATGAGAGAGTCATTGATCGGCTGCCTTCTGCACGGCCCCTACTGGGAATGGAGCCCGCAACCCGGGCATGTGCCCTGACTGGGAATTGAACCGCAATCTCCTGGATCCTAGGTCAATGCTCAACCGCTGAGCCACACTGGCCGGGCTATGGCCATTTTCTGATATAAAAATATGTATAAAATTCAATACAACCCTCTACTGTAATATAAAAGACGAGATAGAGAAAATAATTTGTTTTAAAATAATATGTATTTCAACATGTGAATGCTCAGACCTGATTCCAATGGGAGACCTGATTCCAGTGGAGTAGGCAGGTACCCACCCCATATGGAAAGCAACCATGGAAGTGATAGCTGTAAGTGTGTACTGATGTGGCTGTGCTATAGTCAAAGCTCAAACATCATGAGCAATACTGTTCTCAGGGTAGTGATTTTATGAAATGGTGAACAAATCTTGGTATCATTTAAAATTAAATAATATATAATCTATCAGTTTAAGTGGCAGTTGCTTTCCTAGAAAATTTCGTGTGTTTTTAACCCATGCAAAAAATATGTTTACATGTAAAATGGAGTTGGTTTCTAGGCTAGGTGATTATAGTTTCCCCTCAATTATGTGACTTACAGAACATTTGAAAGTCAGGTAGATCAGGGACAGAGCTTCATTGTGTGGGACTGTCCTGTGTTGCAGGCTGTTGAGAGCCCCTGGATCACCCCTGGTGAGTTCCACTGCTCTGAACAACTTCCTGTTTTCCCAAATGTTCTGTACGTCCCTACCTCCAGGCCTTCACCTATGCCTTGTCTAGCTTGACATAGCCTTGCCCTTGTTTCTACCTGTGCATTTGTCAAGGCTCACCTCAAATGTCCTCTGTATGAAGCTTTTCTTCATTGTGCTGGTTCTACATCAAACCCCAGTAGACTTCAGACTCGTATTCCGCCTCAAAAAGTGGTTATTTGTGTACAGAACCCATTTCCACTTCCATTAACTCCTTGACTTTATATTACGGAACATTTTATCTCTATGTCCAAGTCATCTAGCACAGAACATTTCACATAATAGGCAACCAGCAAATATTTGTCAAACATAATTACTACAAATGACTCTATAACAGAATCTGAATGCATTGGAGGGACTTAATCCATTAAAGCTTCTTTGCACAACTTGATTTTCTAGTTTCTAACATGCCTAAGTTTCTACAGAAAATATTGCTTTTGAAAACATAAAAGCAAGATATGGAGCGTGTATAGTAAAATGCTCTTAGATTATTAGGCAGTTGATTATAATGTTGCATTGCTGCTACTATGTTGTTTCATCACAGTTTGAAAGTTGCTCTTCAAACAACTTTCTGTACCCTTGGCTGGCTCATAACTTAATTCTCCCTGGTGACTTTCAGAATCCAAGGTTTGGGGTCTGAAATTGTGGGCAGAGGAGGTTAGGATTTGTTATGTTAGGTTGAAGATGGGCTAGGACCAAAGAGACTAGGCAGTGGGTGGGAGATGCCATATGTGTGCACTGCTGGGCGGCCCAGGGTGGCAGCCGTGACCCCTAAACAGGCACCCAACGTTAACGAGCTGCAGAAACTTCACAGATCACAACCGCCTGACCTCTCTCTCTTCCCCATCCAACTCTTTGTAACATGATTTTTGCATTTTGTAAAATGAGAGTAATGGTTTGGATCATACAAAATGTTTTTTATATAAAACCCTGAAACTGTATAGGATACATCTGGTGGTGAATATCATCATCTCTTTGGGTAGAATATTTTGAGGCTCCTAATCACACTTATAGGTACATGTCAGCTGTACAGCTGTGATTAGCACCCATTGCTCCCAGCCCCTTCTGCTTCCCCATCCCATGAACATATTCTAGCAGTGATGGAATCATTTTCACCTAATTTAAGCACATTTCTAAGCTATCGGTACTCAGCCTGAAACCGACAGCTGGAAACTCATTAAGACTCAAATGTCTTGGTCTTTTAGCTTCTTGTAGAAGTGTTCACAGCTTCCATCAGTTTAGAGCCTTGTATTAGATGGAATCGAAGAATTGATTGGTATTTATGGGATTTCAGGACAGAAAGTAATCTCTTTTTAAAAAATAACACCTGTTTTATTACTATTTTATAAGAAAAAAACCCCATAATTTAGATTGCACATAACACCTTTTCATTGCATTGTTTATCTATAGCTGTGGCCAGCATTGCTCACAGGGACTGCTGTATATTTTTATGGAACAAATATTTGTACAGCACTTACAATGGGTCAGGCGCCATTCTAGGAACTTTAGAAATCTTAACACATTTAATTCTCACAATAGTCCTATGAAAGTAAGACTGTGATCCTCACCTCTGTTTACAGAGGGGACTGAGCATGGAGATCTTAAGTGGCTTGTTGAAGGCCCTTAGGTCATGGTGGACTTGGGATTCAGACAAGGGAAATCTGGTTCTAGCAACTGTGGCCTTTGCTCCTGCATGGTTCTGCCCCACTTTATACTTTGATCAGGCATTTATTTGGCTCCTGTTGTGTTTTTTATGTTGTATATTTTGATCCACCTCATCTACACTTATTAAATCCCATTGATTGATTACTATCTTTAGTTTTTCCCTTGTTCGAAGTAATATGGGGTTGATGGACCTCTAATACTTTTTGGTGTCAGTCATTACTTTGTGAAACATTTTCTCGAAAACTTTAAATTATATGTAGTTATAAATTATGTAAGTAATATGTGTTTCTCATAGGAAATATGAGATTTGGGGGTTCATTTGTCCACACAGCAAAATCTAGCCTGTTGTCAGCTAGTGAGTCTGCCCTGAGAACTGCACTGAACTTTGCACAGAAGATGCTGTGGTTGGGCCATCCCTCATATCCCACGTGTACTCAGAGGAGGGCTGGACCTGATTGAGAAGGCTGGAATCCTGCTTCTGCATTTACTAGCTACGTGCTGAACAGAGGCCAGCCACGTGGTCTCTCTGATTTTAAGTAGCTTTGTTTGTCATATGGGGATTGTCTTAATTGGGGTTCTCCAGAGAAACAGGGCCAATAGGAGATATATAGAAAAATATTATAGATATATAGAAAAATACTTATTATGAGGGATCAGCTCACATTATTTTGGAGACTGAGAAGTCCCAGGATCTTGCTGTCTGCAAGCTGGAGGACCAGGAAGACTGGCAGTGCAGTTCCTGTCCAAGTTCAAAGTCCTGAGAGCCAGGGGAGCCAAGGCTGCAAATCCTAGTCCTCAGCTGAAGGTCTGAGAACCAGAAGTGCTGAGAAGATAGATATTCCAGCTCACATGGTGAGCACATTCGCCCTTCCTCTGCCTCTTCTTCCCTATTCGGGCCTTCAACCGATTGGATGATGTCCATCTGCACTGGTGAAGGTGATGTTTACTCAGGTTCAAATGCAAATCTCTTCCAGAAACACCCTCACAGGCACGCCCTGAAATAATACCTTACCAGCCGTCTGGGTATCCCTTAGCCCAGTCAAGTGGACTCATAAAATTAACCATTACAGGGACTTTCAGATTCTCCTCATAAGATTGCTTTTCAAAAGATAAAATTGTAGTGCAGTGAAGGCCTTGGAGGGGGTTGGGGATGGTGGTGGTGGAAGGGGTTAATGGGGGGAAAAGGACGGACATCTTTAATACTTTTAATGAGAAAGATAAATTAAAAATAAATATAAAATTGAACACGGTGTCTTATATGAAAATGTTTTAAGCATCGTGTTTAACTCCAAATCTTGGACTCAGGGGTCATATCTATCGCAGCTCTCTTCCTCTCATTCCCCACCCACTTTCCCAATTTATGACCCACATACAGTGGGGGAGGGGAGATTCCTTTTCCTCCCGTGTGTTTCCTAAGCACTGCACGCTGCCCTGGCAGATTTGCACACTTTAGACCAGCTAGCACAGAGTCTCCCCAGATGGGTAGATAACATGGAAATCATTTCAACAGAAACGCACAATGGTTATTTGAACAATGGGCTCCCCTTTCACTGTAGGTCTGTGAAGAGCTGGGCTTGGTGTGCCATCCAGCTGTGTGACCCATTCAGCTTGCAAGTGTCAAGCAGGAAATTAAAAGTACTTCTATTTCTGTTTTCAAGGATGGATATCTGCAAGATTTAATGAAACAAAACCCTTCTGTTTTCTAGAAGCTTGCTTATGAGCAGTATGATCGGTTGGAACCATTTTCTCCTTAATTTTGACTCCAACATCCAATTTGCCTTTAATTTGCCAGCTACCCCTTGGCCTATATGAGATCCAGGCAGCAGATTAACTTTTACAAAATGCATGCCCTCAAATATCTGAAAGTGCTTATTTAAGTGGTAACCATGGTGTATATTGAAAATAGAAAAATAGGTCACAAATATTTCCTTAGGGGAGGGGGAAGACCATATGAAAATCAACATGCTCACAGGCTTCCCAAAATCTAGGTCAGGGATCATGACTGTAACTAATTCTTTGGTAAGTCAGACTAATTTATAAGGAGATACATTTTTAATATTTCAGTGTTTTTCAAGCTACCTTATAGTCTCTGATTATGGCCACAGAGCTGTTAATCTTTGCCATTGTGTTTTCATATACTAAAAAGTCAGATGCATTCGACTATAATTGAGTTTTTTAGATAGGCGTAATCACCCCTGTCCGAGAAATCAGTCCACACAGTCTGCGTGCCTTTCAGAACCCAACGAATCACAAGAGATCACGTTTTCACTGAATCTTGGTGAGACATTTCCAACGGCAAACTGCTTTCTGGAGAGTGTACCAGGAGCTGCTGTGGCGTCTGAAAATGAGCAGCTCCTGGGGGGATTTGTGCAGCTTTCTTTCAAGTCCTAGGTAAGTTGCATTGCTTTTATACTGTGTTTGGCAGATTTAGCTTCTCCTTTTGCTAGCTCTGCATTTAATGACCCATGGCTCCCATTCATTCATTCATTTGGAAGGGACCATTATTTGCCATCAACTTCTGTGGCGAATGGATCCCCTGGGTTACTGCATTTGATCATCTGGCTCTGCAGAATGTCCTATTCTTGACTCCGGCGGATTCCTCTCCAAATTAAGAGGCATTCAGGAGAAAGGAGGACTTGTAGTTGGGTCGGGATAAAGGATTGGCCATGTTCTCCTGCTAGACCCTCCTGCCTTCCCTTTTTTCCCTGCTCCCCTCCACCCCATCCCCTAACTCTGGTCCCCTTTCCTTCTGGTCCTCTCATGCATTCCTTCTGCAAACGTCTATCGTTATCCCTCTGTCTGCCTCGCTGTGGTAGGCTCTGGGGGGGATGCACGAGGGACTGAGATACAGCCGCAGCGCTCAGGTGCTTTATCTGCGATGGGGGAGAAGTGCAGCCAAGAATCGCT